ACGTGCTCTGTATCATGCAAAAACTGTTTCGAAGAAGCTGGGCATCACCAGGAAGACCTTCCCTCGTTAGTGATTCGAAATGTTACGGTATGCGGAGCTGATTGGGATCCGACACTGTCTCAATGTCAGCGAATGAAATCGCGTTATTACTCGCGACTTATTTACTGCTATTGTGTTCTTTGGGAAGAGGGGGAAGGGGGAGAATTCAATTCAACCTCTTGCAAAGCACCATGTCAAACTTCCATGGAAGCATTTGGAAGAATTGTCTTGAGATGACTTAGTTTTGTTTTGTTTATTTCTCACAAAATGACTTCTACTAATTTGAGCTAACAGAATTGGTAACTTATAATTTCTTCCATCCTTCGAGCTTGTTCATGACAGTTCTTCAGAACTCGGGTCAGTGCAAGTTAGAGGAAGCAACCATCAGCTGCTTTGAGGTCCTCGTTCTTGTCAAGGCTTTCCTTCCGTTGTACTGATTCTGGGAATCAGAAGTAGTTGTAGTCGAATGGAGTGAGCTTGGAAGGTGCAGGGATACACTTGCCGCTTTCAGCATCTCAGCAGCAGTTTTGCAGAAAAAAATTTCATGCATGTTTTGTTGCGGCAAATATTCCTTTCGCAGAATTGTTATGCAGTATTTGAACTCCCTATCATTTAATCCTGGATCGTTCACTGTCACATTTTGTTTTTCTTGAAGTTAATTTAAAATGAGTTTTCAGTCGATCTCATTCATCCTTCGTGCTGAGCGCTCTTTGGGTGGTCATGTTATGCGAATGCTGGCTACTTCTGAACCAGCTGGCCAAGGCTCAGTAAATGCACACGCTATGGCTCTGACTAAGGTTGGTGGCTGTCACCTTCCTCCCCATTTTGAAAGGTCGTGACATATTCCGATAATTTCGCTTTCAGTACGCAGACACCCCAACGGGTTCCTTCATGACACGACACACATCAGATATGAGGATATCATACGTTCACGATCGTCTCAATTACATATTGAGAAATGAGCTGAAAACACTGATGGGATCGAGTTTCTTTGAACTTATTGAGCCGAGCGATTTGCCGTCATTCCGAGAAGTTTGTCTATTATTGCAGACGTAGACAATCGTTTCTCTTGATCTGTCAATTTATTCTTCCAGTCAATGAAGACATTGTTCGCCAAGGGTCACGTTCGCACTCCACTGTATCGTCTATTGGCTGCCAACAATACAGTAGTTTGGCTGACCACAGAAGGCGTCCACTGTCAACCATACATCCAAAGGCCAGAAAGCCCAATATGTAATCTGCGTCCATCATATAGCAGGGTTAGTCGACGAATCTATAATTTTATTTCAACTATTATATTGCGGTCAACAGTATTCGGTCCTCAATGCCCTTATTAAGAAGCATTATTATTTTCTACTCCTCAAGAATGCTGAGTTATAGGCAAAATTTCGCGTTAATGGGAAAGCAAACCCGCATATTAGCTTTGCCAGAGGATAGCGTTCGATTCCTGCCAGGGGCGAGATTTTCTGCCTATAACTCGGCTTTTATGTAACATTCGCTCTACGAATTGCGTCCTCGAAACAGCAGTTAACTAACAAAGCAAGCATTCCGATGTTTTCTTTAGGATCAAGGGTATTCTGGATGAGGTATCGTCAGCAAGCCAAGGTGGTGTCGCGGCAGGGATTGCGATTGAAATCAAAAAGGAGGTCGACGATGCAAGAGGTATGTTGAGATCTGTAGTACCTTTCTGGAGTTGTACAGAGTACACCCACGATTTAATTTTGATTTTAGTCTTAACCAAAGCATAGTGCGTTTCATCGAGTAGCTGAATTAGGCTCTGATCTTTTCTAGTTGTTTGTCTAATGCTAGTATGTGACGTTCGCCAAAGAACCCTAAAAATGTGCTGTGGGGAGCGCGCTGAGAGACTCACACAAAAGAGCGTTATGTTGTGTACGTTTGCCGATAGAGTACAAGGACAACTTTGTTTTGCGGTTCGTCGGGGGACTTCTTATGGGCAAAATCTTAAATCTTGTTTATTTCTGAGCTGTTGGGGTTGTGGGAGAAAGAAATACGGCGCATTGGTTTCAAGGGCACATACAATCATAAACTTTAGTTTCTGACAACGAAAAGAAGAGTGAGGTGTGCTTTGTTGACATGTCATTTTTACAGTATATTGTTCTGAAGCACTCTTTAGCGAAGTGCGGTAATAGCTACCACTTGTACACGTGAAATACCACGAACCCTTTGAGATTGTTGCTGCTTACACCGCGCATGATCGGAGTCTTAGTTCGATACTTGGGTCAGGCCCTTGTTTCACCCCTAAGGGTTGGATACTTGGTAACAAACCGGTGCTGCACTGGGACCTGTACATCGGTCTGGTTACTACACGGGTCGCTCGAAATTTCACTACGATTGGAATGTGAATAGAATGCATGCGGCATACAAATCAGGATGGATTAGCGCCGAATGTTTAATCCTTTTCTATTTTCGTTCGTGAGCTCGTGGAAACCACGGTATTAACAATTTCTCAGAGTGTGGATTCAGTGAACCTTTCAAGTTATCTGACCTAATGTGCCATTTTCAGTCAGCACAGGGGCGATGCCCAGAAAATTTTGCCCTCTATAACTTCGATTTCATTGTCGTGAAATCGGTTCCGGATTCGAATAGTTTACTTACCGCGTTTTTCATTTTGATCGTTCACTCAAAACCAGACGCTTCCAGATTATAGGCTGGTCGTCAACCTCACATCGATGGCAGTGGTGCGTTGGATTTCCAAATGCAACCATTCACTGGTCCGGAGGACTTCAGTGTGATGTCACGGCTGTTATCGTTTGGTGACCCTGAAGCAGCGAAAAATTCTTCCATCGACGGTGTGTTTTTATGACGTTGTTCTTTCCTTTTTGAGTTCTAATTTTTCCTTGAGTTTTTGATTTTCGCTGCTGCAATCTGCCCGACGTCTTGTCTGGGTATTTGGATGTTTTACTGGAGTATTTTGATTAGGAATTATTAGTTTTTTAAAGCCCAAAGCGGCGCTCAGTGCTTGTATGTAGTGCTTGCTTTGTTGAGGTCTTGCTTGATCATATGAGCATGCACCTATTTTCACCTTTTTGCATCTCTTTTTCTCAAACGGCGCTAAAACCCGTACGTGTTTCTGTTGAATGTCTCAATCTATCAGCATCTGAAAAGTCTTACTCAAACTATGTGAGCGATCCATGACGAGACGGTTTCCAGTTTCTGGCAGTAATTTGAACGACAGCGATGATGCCGATGATGAACATGAGTGTTGTTGCCGCTGGCGGGACAGTGCGATGAGACTGAAGCGACCCTCTAGCCGCCATTTTCGCAGGAAATCTCATCCGCTGAAGAGACGCCGTGTTTATTCATCGGAGCGGTCCTCTTCGGAATCGGAGGACACCAATACAGATGAGGTGTCCTCCCTTGTTCATGGTTAAGGATACAGTTCGCGGACTCTTAGGAATGTTTCAAAGTAGTCGCTCATTCATTGCTCATTGCTTTTACTCTACGAAAAGAGCAGGCGCAAATGGAGACCGCGGACTGTCGATGTGCATACTTTTCCCTTGGATGTAGTCGTCTCGTCGTTGTCGTTTACCCATTCGATGATCGCTGATCTCGTCCAGGATCGTTCACTTTCAATTGGCTATGACATTCTCCTTAATTTTTGTTGGCCATTATAGTAATGTTCGTCTTGTCAAGTTTTCCGTACGATTTCAATCCTTAGCTTAACGATTTGTGGACAGAAACATACGTATAAGGTATATGGTAAGAATTTTTTTCAGGAACGAGTGAGAGGAGCAGCGGCACGTATTCGGACGCATTTTTTCGCGGCCAGCCAGAATGCACGGCTCAGAGCTTTGGACAGGTATGAGCAGCGTTTTGAAATCTTTTCTTTTAAGAGTTAAAATCATTTGCTTAACAATCTCGCGTTCTTAATGAATGGAAGCTATATTTTGGGTGACAGAACAAGAATCTCTCCATGTGACGTTGCGCATGAGGAAATCTAATGTGTCGCTTGCAGTCGCATCGTACGACTTGTGAAATTACGCAAGGTTTTAAAATGAT